ATTTCAAAGAGTTATTTTGAAGTGCACGCTTCAAAATGACCAATCAAAGAGCGTATAATATCGTTTTATTCTTTATTTCCCCGGAGCCTCGTYTRCWATTCTTTTGTGCATGGTCACTGAACCAAAATATCTAAACTCGGCTATTTGTTCATTGAACCATCCAGAGGCATTTACACTTACCACCTAACGCTAGTACTTCGATGTCGTCTGCTTCTAAGGGTGCCTTGTAAATGTTATCATCAGCAAAAGCTTGATATGAAATTCCTGGTTTAAACCGGACAGTTCTCTCGGTTATATTAATAAAAAGATCACCTTCGCCGAATATTATTCCATCTTCGGTGAAGAACACACTGGTGTGATGTCGATTTGGTAGAAGGTCCATTTGAGCACCAGGAGAATCGTGTTTAAGAATAAACAAAAAAGCTTTTGACGAAGGAACCCCCTCGTAACCTGAAAAAATTACAATTAACGGTGATAATTAATTATAACTATTACAAATAGATTATATATAGCACTTGCATATAGGCATGCTGCAATCTTCCTTTACGAGGAGTACGGGTGACACTGACTACTCTAAAACCCTAAAAGTAGCATAAGAGTGCATGCATCATAGCATTGGTCGGGGCCACACGTTCCCTGTTTCCACGATGTGTCCGGTTTGACACTAGGAACAAATATCTGTAGTAAATAAAATGTAACATTTACAAAAAGAAAAGATCAATAAAGATCTATCGGKTGSTGGCTGACCGACCTCTCAATCTCCTAGCGTMAGTGTGTTATATACAGCTATTTCAAAAAACGTTGTCGGGGAGAACGGCGAACGGCGATTGTCGAAGGGAGAATGCACGACCGAAAGGGACTATGGTTGCACTGCTTCGATAAACAAAAATTCACTTATTGGATTCACCATATATAGAAATCGAGACTAAAGGATCCAGTGTTTACCACAGACTATGTTACAGTATAAATCAGTTGTTATTGCCTTTCAACCACCAAAACCCATGGAGGGGGAGCCAACAGAGTCTGTTCTTCTAAATAACTTTTCTGGTACGAATTTTTTGCTTKAAAAGARAATTTGAGCTACATTGTTGACAATCTCACAAACAAATGTGGCGCCCTTCCTTCTTTAAAATAATTTTGTTCCTGGCAAACGTTTTTATGGTCAAAAAACGACCATGAAACGACTTAATTCTTTTAGTTAGGAAATTTTCCTGGAAAAAATTCTAAGAAAGTCTTCCTTGCCTGGAGAGCTTTTTTTCCTGAATTTCTCGCTGGCAACCAGTTGTGACTTACAGCTGGCTGGGACTCAAKAACAGATATATTTCTCCCAAGAACCCGCAGCTCCTCCTACTGATGGTTAGTCAATATTACTAGAAACACCACATACCGTAAACCTGSACCTCTGCTATTTGTATAAAATGTGGTTTTAGCAACTCGAGGTGAAGAGTAACGTTGTCGCCATAGATCGGTGGATTGCAGTGAAACCATCCTTCTACTGCTYTMCTAAGAAGTGTTAACCCCGAACTACCACACCGTGTYACATTAGCGCCATGGCTTATRTTAATGTGAAACGGTGATAAGCGACCATTATGACGATATATGTATATTTTGGATATGAACACTGCACGGTCCAACTTCACACTCCACCAAGAATAATCGTCATGTTCTGTCCTGGTAAGCGTGTTTWTATTACCATCTACTGCACGCGATGCAGCATGTTCCCTAACGTTTCGATGAATCCTTAACGCGGAGGTTGATCGTTTGAGAGCATAGTCTTTGGGAAGTCCCAAGTAATCTATGGATTTAGAAGATCTGCATTTAGTGCACATACACTTAATTTCATGCTCTTGTAAAGAAACTGAATAGCAAATAGATAATTATTTGGATCCACTCACCGTTTAAATGATTGACGTCAGTAAAACCACCAAAAACTAACGATTCTTTTCTCACCAAGAAGATCAACGGTCCTTTCTTGCTGCACTTTTGCAGTAACATGGAAGCGTTCCAGCCGTCGGTAAGCGCATGATAACATGGTTTAAAATACTTATTCCAGATTCCTGCTTGTGCAGCCACCGTTGGGAGCAGCCAGTCTTGGTACGTGTTGATATGACCAATCATGTTAGTCGTCATACCTGGTAATGATTAACAAATGATCCTGTCAATACAGCCAACCTCGTTCCCAGTCCTTTGTCCCTTCGATTGGGGTCAGTCGGTAGGGCCTGGGAACGAGGTTGTAATACAGTCGCCATCTTGAATTATGTCAAAACTTTAAGTTAGGGAACGTCCGCGGGACAAAAGTACAAATTCTTATCAAGAGTAGCAAGAAAACTTACTTTCCTGGCAATTTGTTGCAACTATTAATTGACGTGACTCGACGTTATATGATTGTATCGTTTTAAAGTACCTATTTTAAAAACAGTTTGTTTTTTATCTGCATAAAAGAAATCATAAAAAAATACGATGCCAAAACGACAGGAAGCCCGTGACTCTTAGTGATGCCTGTGGAGGCGACACTGGTGAAAAACGCACTGCGCATGTCCACAGCTTTCCTGCTAAAACWGCCTAATTTCCTTTGYAAAGTGATTTTTGTGAAAGTTTTTTACAATTTATAGGCTCATTCACCGATATATAAGATAAATATTTCCATCAATCATTGTTCATGATAGATCCTTTTAGTATGTAGTTTCTATTTTTATCTTGTYATTTCTATTTTGAGAAAATGAGGTTTTTCGTAGTGTTTTCTGTGTTGTCGCTGTAAATCGCCAGGCGCTSTATTTAYAGATTTCAAGACGCGAKCGCCCACTGGCGGGAAAGCTGTGGGCATGCGCAGTGCGTTTTTCAMCAGTGTCTGTGGAGGCTAATCATAATAGACCTCTGAACCTTTTACGTCAYTACTTGATTTTCAATGCATTGTGGGATCATTTCGGAATATTTAATTGTATTTAAATTGGCTTTGATAATTTGACACAACCCTTTGACTGGGGTTTTACTTCATTAAGAGACACTTACATATTAAAGACCTCAAGGTTTTTGTCGACAATATTTTAAAACGTTTTTTATCTCATTATAAACAATATAATATGAACATTATAAAGTCCAGCTATTGATTTTTCTTACCYAAGACCTGGTTTCGAGCCAGTTTAGGAACGAAGGAACAATTTTCTTCGTTTGATAATATAACATTATCTACACCAATGTAACCATTATCGCCGACAACCGCTTCGAAAATTATCTGCGAAAGTGAAAAATAAAATAATAATTATTCAACCATAATCTGCTTCATAGGCAGTTTTATGACAAATAATATAAAGTTTTCAATTTGTAATATCATTTATATCGAGGATATTACATGGGCGCGCGGATTTTCAWCACGAGAAGATAAAATTCGTATCTCCAAGCGACCATATAATATTCTGTTTATCATATAATTACATATGGAAGCAAATTATGTCGTAAAATGCCTTTTTTTCTTACTTCCAATATAGGAAGAAACCTCGAATGTGTTATTTTCAATAGTGAAAATATCAATTTTACAAAATGGACAAATATAGGTATCTCATAGATAATTATATGATAAATTGATATATTAGATTTACAGAAGCTATAGCTTCCAGGATGAGTTCGAGAGTAAAATCGTAAAATATGCAAGCTTTTCTAAAGGCTGATTTACACGGCACGATTGTCTCGTGCGATTTGTAGTATACGACTTGAATCGCGCAGTGCATGTAAATGCCCCTACGACTTGTTTACAACAGTCGTACGCAACCTACGACTTGTAGTAGGATTTTGAACCACAGCTTAAAATCCTACGACTTGTAGTAGGAAAATCGTATACTACAAGCCGCGCGCGACAAATCGTACCGTGTAAATCAGCCTTAAGAGTTTAAAACATGGAAAACCGGCACCATGACGACGCTTTCACTTTGGACTTTGGTCTATAACTCCAAGAAGGCCTATTGGCATAGGTTTATAATAAAAACATATTCCATCTAATTTATAAACTACCTGATAGGCAATGTCTGCATTAATCGGCACTTGTGCTATTGACCAGCAGTTATTCTTACAGTGACCAGCAAATCTCCATAGCAAAGTCTCGGCGCCACTAAAGTAAACGTTTAATCGTCCTGAATCAGAACCGCTGAAGAGATACGAGAATGAAAGGCAATTCCTGGAATTTACTACAAAACCAGTGCGATAGAACTCTTTTTTTCCTTTGTAGTTTGGAAAAGCTGTGCTTACATTCCAATATCCTGGAACTTGAAGTACTGAAACCAAAAGCCAAAAAATCTGGGTTTTTGTTTGCTCGTTTTTTGTTTGTTTGT